TATATATAAATATTATATAAAATTATATAATTATATACACATAATAACTTTATTAAGTACAATGACATGACAGAAAATAAAATAAAATTAATGGACGCAATTGCACACAGAAGACGAGATTGCAGCTGATATGCTGATTTGATGAGAACATACTCATTAAACGGGATTTTTTATTGATTCCCATCATCGGGATTGACTAATATGATATTTCCAGGTTATGTATACCTGCAGGTTGTCTTTCCGACTCCGCCTTTGCCACCCACGAATATCCATCGTAAAGAATGTTGTTCGATCACGTTCCTGATGGAGGGTTCGTACTCCTCCATCGTCTCCTTCTCGGCAGTACTCATGTGTTAATGATGATAATGCGTAACACTGGGAGAAATTTAGTACATAATTCTTAATAATCGTCGCGTATGGTCGCGTAGCGTGTATATACACAAGGAAAAATATGAAAGTGAAAAGCACAATCCTATACTAATAAAGCTCGCGCACAACGTGGCGCGTCATTGAATTGCCAAGATGTGTTCGTCACAATTACACTTTCTGCACTCGTATATTTCTTGTTTTCTCTCTCTTTTTTCTTTCTTTCTCTCTTTCTTTTTCCTTTCAAAATATGTGAGCGTGTATAAGTTCCATTGTTAAAAAAATGTAGCAAAGAAACGCAGCTTTTCGAAATTGTATTTATGACTTCTATTCTGATTTACTATTTAATATAACTTATTATTATTATTATTATTATTCATTATTAATATTAATTAACAACTATGTTATTAATTACCCATACAGCACAGAAAGATTGCAGAAACATTGCTAAATGATTTCACTGAAACATTACAATATTGCATGATGGTGCAATTTGCGAAACGTTGCTGAATCATTGGTGCAAAATTCCAACAATATTAAGATGTCCGCTTTTTGTTATATTGCAACAAAATGTTCCAATATTGCAATGTAATGTATTTGGATAAATTTTTTACTAAGCTCTCTAAAATGAAAACTATTTCTATACATATATCTCACTTTAATTTTTCTACAAATCACATTTCTAGTGATATGTGCTTTCCAAAAGCAATTTTTTATGATAAAATATTCCAATAAATATAGTATTAATAGTGATATGTGCTTTCCAAAAGCAATTTTTTATGATAAAGCCATAAAATATTCCAATAAATATAGTATTAATTTAAAGGATAAATTTATTCGTAAGGATAAAGTATGTATGTGCGTGCCCCAAACAAACTACACAAATATTATCCACATTAATAGAACCCCTGGCTAAATATCGGTCTTTTTCCTGTTACTAAAAAAAAGTTTGGTATTCAGAGAACAAGTTTTGTGCGTTACTCGATTTGTATATATATTCTTCTCGATTTGTATATATTCTCAGAGCAACAAATGACCCAAAGTGTGTACAGAGTGTATATTTTCTGTAACTAAAAAAGTTTTTTTTTTTCTTTAAAACTTCAATTAATTCTCGGTTGTATTGCGAGAATATTTCGCGAATTATTAAAAAAACAATTTAACAAATTAAAACAAATATATTAGCCTTTAATAAACATGATTTTTGATATCTTTGTTCTAAATATTGTTAATAATATTATATATTATGTTGTCTGTAATGTAAATAAAGAACATTTTCCTAACATAAATTATAAATTTTTTTAACACAATAGCAATAATAAAATCCATTGTTTTAAAATGTAAATGCAATATATCTTCAATTTATAGCCATTTATGTATATTAAAAAAAATATCATTTTTAAGTTACTCAATAACTAAACTTTTTGGACAGCCGACACTTGAACTATTTTTTTGTCTTGTAGTTTGGAATGTTAATTTTAAGATACTGAACCATACTTTTCTTTTAAACATTTTTGTTTCAAAGTTTTATATTTTTATATGAAACAGTAATGCAATTTTATTTAGATTAACTATATTTAGTTACAACAATTTATCTACAATTTGTTATGAATAACTGCACAAATACTTTTTAAAAACGTCAAAATATATGTAAAAATTGTTTAATAATTTATATATAGGTATACTTGTAAAAGTGAAAATTTAGCTAAGACACGTATGACCGAACGTGTGTATTAAGAGTAGTCAAAACTAACGTGAGTAAGGATTAAATTCAATTTAAGGACACTTTATTATAATTCTTATAATACTAAATAATCAATTTTTTCAAAATTTTTCAGATATTATACGTATACATTTATTATATATGCATCTGAGAAAGAAAAGTAATTTTTTACGTTTCATTGTCTGAATTTTCACCTTCTAGAAGTTTCATTTATGCTTTTGTCATTTCTCCTTCACATTCGACTTACACTCAGATTTTTGTTTTCATTTCTAGTTTAGAATTTCTATTAGTCTTTCATTAATTAGATAAGATTTTGGAGCCATCTAAAAATATATTCAAGATAATAATTTAAGTATAAAATCGAACTACAAATACTTAAAATATTTATATAAATTTTATGAACAGTTTAAAAAGTGTTCCATCAACATAATCATTCTTTCCTTCTATTAGATATCTCGATATTCGATATATCAAATGCAGAAAAACTATCGAACGGTCAACAATGTCGAGTATCGAGAACTAGACCGCGCGATTATCAGCAATCGTGCGGCGGGATCGATTGGGAATCGGAATCCACCTCTTCCTCTCTGGTCTAAGTAAATAGTTCGTAGCCTGTATCGGTCTGTAGTGTCTGTCAGTGTCTACATTGTATCGCGATGAATTCGTAGCGGCAACGACTACGTCTTGAAGATATGGTGTCGTGCATCGTAGAGATCGAGTGGATGTGAAAACGAAGAGAACGCTGTTATTCAACGTCGTGATTTTCATTGAAGTAAACGCGACGCGCGCAATTGGAAGGCATGCCGCAATTTCACAAGATCGAGATTAACAGGACGGAATGGGAGGTACCGGAACGGTATCAATTGCTCACTCCCGTGGGTTCGGGCGCCTATGGTCAAGTCTGGTAAGTGACACAACATCGTTAGCAGAGAACGACGTTGGAACAATCATCACCTGATGTTACATGCGCGCGCGCGCGCGCGCGAGAAGAACCTTGACGATATACGTATTTGACAGAGACTGCCAAGAGACTCTTGATTAAAGCCCAATTCCACTAATGTAAGATTAACTTTAATCTCGATTTAACTCTTATTGATTTTGTACTGTTTATCTTTTTCTAATTCTAAGAAAACCGAGATTAAAGTTAATCTTACATTGGTGGAATTAGACTTTAGTCAAGATTCCCTTGGAAGTCTTAAATATAACTATATACGTATATCACCAACTCTTACTATTTATCTTTTTCTAATTCTTAGAATTAAAATTAGAAAAAGATAAACAGTAAAAGCTAAACTGAGATTAAAGTTAATCTACATTGGTGAAACAGAGCCTAAGTCACAACAAAATTCTCTGATTTTGTTAATCTTTTCCTTTAAACTTATTTTGCGTCACAATGTGTAGTTCTGATACATTCAATTTAATTAGTCTGACAAGAGAATATTCTAGATTGTAAGTAATATAAAAAAAAACTAATATCAGTAAAAAGATAACATTTAAAACAGATATTCTAAATGGTTAAATCTTAGGAATTCTACGGATTCTGTATCTGACTTAGGCCTGATTGCACCCACGTTACTTTGACTTTAAGCAAGGCTTAAAACTCTCTGTCTCTACCTCTTTTTCGCTTTAACGCTTAAACGAGATAGAGAGAATTTTAAGTCTTGCTTAAAGACAAAGTAACGTTGGTGCAACCAGGCCTTAGGCTGAAACATGTTTGGTCATATGTTAACTCAGACACAAAATATCTCGAAAACAATGCATTTTTTTTAGATACTTCAAAAAGATATTTCAAATAGAAGTTGTAGAGTTTGGAGAAGGTCATGAGCTAATTAGATATTAGATATTAGATATTATTATTATTATAGATCCAGAGGTCACTTTGTACCCCAAAAAAATCAACCTGAGTTTTATTATAAGTAGCTTATCTAATAACCAATTCAAACTGTATAACTTTTATCTGAAATATTTTTTATCAATGCATTGTTTTCGAGATATTGTGTCTAAGTTAAAATAACCAAACATGTTTCAGCTCAAGTTAAGGATAAAATTCTAGGATCTCAATATTTAACCATCTAGAATATTTATTTCAAACATGATTTTTCGATTAGAAGGTAAGTTTTTTGTTATGCAATTTAGAACGTCCTTTGGTGAGATTTAATTTGATTATATGTATATTTTTGTAATTTATACCTAATTCAGATATCACAATTTTATTATAAAAATGTTCCTTTGCAGTTCTCGTCTACCCATTTTCATTAATAAAGATTAACTTTAATCTTGATATAATACAATTGACTTTTCAGTTTTTTCTAGTTCTAATATCTGTATTACACTAGTGATAGAAGATTATGTCTATGTTTACGTCTCTTGATTTATTGCAAAAAGAAGCTGTTGGCCAACAGCTTGCTTTGCTTTCTTTCGCAATCTCCAATCGCTAGTGCGATAAGATGTGGTACCAATTAATATCAGATTAATTCTCATTTTAATTTAATGTAATCTTTTTCTAATTATAACAATTAAAAAGATGAACACTATTAAATTAAACCGCGATTAAAGTTAATCTTAATGGCCTAGTTAAGTTGATAGAAACGGCTCATTTCTACCAATGTAGTCTAATTTTAATCTCGGTTCAACTAACTCTTCATCTTTTTCTAGTTCTAAGAATTAGAAAAAAAAAAAGAAAAGTAAATTGAATCGAGATTAAAGTTAATCTATATTGATAGAAACGAGCTATTTCTAATTCTAAGAATTAGAAAAAAATAGAAGAGTAAATAAAACTTAGATTAAAATTAATGCACGTTGATAGACAAATGGACGTAAGTTGCAAAAAAATTCTTCATTCTTGTTGATTTTGTTTTTTGGATTTGTTTACAATGCAATGCTTGGTTTTGACAGTGAGATATTTTAATTTGATTTAATATTTTTGTAATTTATATCTAATGCTTCAGGTACAAATTTTGTAATTTTAAATTTTGTAATTTATTATAAAAATCTTTTTTGAAGCTTTCTTCTTGTGCCTTATGCAGTTTATTATTAGGTGTTGGAATTAATTCGTAGCGTTTTACAAGTGATGGGAAGTACTTTCATTAATGTATTTTTTAATGCTCATGTGAAATAAATAACATTCTTTCATTAAAAAACGCTACGAATTAATTCCAACACCTAATAACTGTTGATCAGGAAATCGTGATCGATTGACAGTCAAATGGAAAGTTGCTGGAACAAACAACGTTTCATGATACTAAAATCGTGAATCGATCGCAACCTTGACGTTTACATTTTTGGCGTTAGCGTGGCAAGATCGCGTGATTATTCTCTGTCGTAAAGAACGGCTGAAATATAATTATTGCGGGGGTGTTAATTCCGAGAATTTTATGCACGCGTCTCGCACTTTCATGAAAATAAGCTTAGAATGATATTTGTCATACGATGTTATTGAGAAGTAATGCTAATAATGCAAAATCTCATTTGTTCAAGATTTAAACTAGATTTCTGTTTTTTTTTGTTTTCCAATAAATGCAGTTTATTGTAATGCTTCAAATCGTGCTAATAAAGAGAATCGTGCTAATAAGCAGAATCGTGTTGATAAAAAAAAATAATAATATTTTAAAAATAATAATATATATTTTATTTCAGTTCAGCAGTGGATACAACTACTGGGCAAAAGGTGGCGATTAAAAAATTAGCCAGGCCATTTCAGTCAGCTGTGCACGCAAAACGCACGTACAGAGAATTACGTATGTTAAAACATATGAATCATGAAAATGTGAGTAAACACAATTATCAAGACATTTTGACTATTGACCACTTAATGTTATAAATGCTTTGAAGTATTCTTTGATAAGATAATTAGTACCAATTTTTTTTATTGTTAAAAAAATGCTTTGAAGCATTTATAGATTTAAGTGGATTGCATTCTTGTAATCAAGCCCTGTTTGTAGTTAATCTTAAAGATATGCGTTGTTCTCTTATAGGTAATAGGACTGTTAGATGTATTCCATCCGTCTTCATCTTTGGAAGATTTTCAACATGTGTAAGTATCATATTTGTCATGTGAGATTAATCTTACTTTATTCATATTTTAATTATGTTATTTATTTATACAGATACCTAGTCACACATCTAATGGGCGCCGACTTGAATAACATTGTCAGAACGCAAAAGCTTTCTGATGATCATGTGCAATTTCTTGTTTATCAGATTCTCCGTGGTTTGAAATATATTCATTCTGCAGGAATCATACATAGGGTACGATCGTGCACCACATATATTTATACAAAATATTAAAAATATATAGAAGCACTTCCTCACAGATTTAATCAATAGGACTTGAAGCCATCTAACATAGCGGTTAATGAGGATTGTGAATTGAAAATATTGGATTTTGGCTTGGCCAGGCCAACAGAGAACGAGATGACCGGCTATGTTGCTACTAGGTGGTATAGAGCGCCTGAAATTATGCTTAATTGGATGCATTACAATCAAACAGGTCAGTAATTATATTAGAGGGAGAAAAAAAAGAATGAGAGAGAGAGAGAGAGAGAGAGAGAGAGAGAGAAAGATAGCGATATATATCTTATCTGCTTTATCTTATACGTTATGATACATAAATCGTATAATGCTATAACATTATTATTGTACATTTTAGTTGACATTTGGTCAGTTGGATGTATTATGGCAGAACTATTAACTGGAAGAACATTATTTCCTGGAACAGATCGTATCCTTGTCATTATTGATGTTTTTGTTGTATTACTTTAATTCAGTCTTTTATTTTCATCTTTTTCTCTTAAAGTATATGATAGATATATGTTTTTAACACAAACTCATTAATCAGTTTTGACAAATATTTCCATTTATCTCGTCTAGTTGCAATGTCCTTTAAATATGCTTTTTGCTAAGGATCTATTGTAACTGATATCCCATAGCTGCGTTGAACTCTTAAATCTAATATCATTGCATATATTCTGCTTAACATGCTTTTAGAAAGCCATTTGCTTACACTTTGCATCATAGATCTAAAAGTTGTCTGCAGATTCAGCATGAGTAAAATATAAAAATTTTATAAATAAGAATATTAATGATATATTTAGAATATGTAGCATATTGCTAAAAATAATAATAGATATTTTTAACAAAGGGGATATTTAGTGTTTTTAAAGAAAAATATAGTGGAGCCTTAGCAAGAGCAGATATTCATCAACTGAATTTAATTATGGAAATTTTGGGTACTCCACGAGATGAGTTTATGAAAAAAATATCGTCAGAATCGGTAAGTTTTAATTATTTTACCGTAATTACTTTATCTACAGCATGAAATATGCACGTTTATACATTTTACATAAAATGTGAATTATGTTTGATCTTTTCTTTTTCTTGTTAACATGTAAAATAAATAATGAAAATGAATATTACATCTTGGCAAATTCTTGGATTTAACATTGACGTAGTATTTAATATAATGCTCTAGTAACAAATAATCTGTACTTTGATAAGTTATATTTATAGATAACAATAATTAAAAATAGTGTATATTTACATATAATTACTAAATGAGAAAATTTCAAGTAATGTAGATTTCAAGTTCAAAGTTGTAACATAAAGTATGCCTTAACAGATACTAAATGAAAAATTTTCAAGCAACGTAGATTTTAAGTACAAAGTTGTAACATATAGTATAACAAAAAAAGGTTTAAATTGTTCATGAAATTTAATATATGCAAATATAGCGTATTGATGAAATATAGTGTATAAAGTTAAATTTTTCACATTTGATGTCTATTTAAAGCTGTAATTCACGCTGCTTTATAACAAGTATGCAGCTTGCTTTAAATGCAATTACTTGCAAATCGTGGGAATGGTTTTATGTATTTAGCGTTAATAAAATTACTTTTTAATTATTATTTAATTAATAACTGCTTTTCCAAACATACCTTAACCATAAACAGACATTGATCATCTAACACGAGTGTTAGTACTCTGTGGTACACCCACAGAAGAAACATTAAGCAAAATTACTAGCCAAGAGGTAAATTTGTTTTTTAAATCTACATATATATTAAACTTTGTATTAAAACTTAAAATGTAATTATTATGCGTACGTAAAAGAAATACAAATGTGTACTTTTTGAAACTAAGTTTTGACTCAATTTGATATCTAATATATAGTATATATGTTTATATAATTTATTTATAATGCTTCAGATTATATTAGGCGTTGGAATTAATTCGTAGCGTTTTACAAGTGATGGGAAGTACTTTCATTAATGTATTTTTTAATGCTCATGTGAAATAAATAACATTCTTTCATTAAAAAACGCTACGAATTAATTCCAACACCTAATATAATTCATAATTTTACTATAATATTATTATAAAAATGTTAATTTAAAATTTTTGGAAGATTTATATAAAAATAAAGAAATATGAAATATAGAGAAAGTATAATATATAGTGTAATATATAGTATACATGTGCAGGATATAATTTAATTTATATAAATGACGTTATAATTTTTTTATCATAATTGAATTATTGTTATAGGCTAGAAATTATATTCAGAGTTTACCACCGTTAAAAAAAAAAAATTTCAAAGATGTGTTTCGTGGGGCTAATCCATTAGGTAATTCAAAAAATATCTGGTAATTTATATCGATTTGTCGAACATTGCATGTAGAATCATATCGAATTTTTGTCTAGCTATTGATTTGCTGGAATTGATGTTGGAATTGGATGCAGAAAAAAGGATTACAGCGGAACAGGCTTTAGCACATCCATATCTTGCACAATATGCGGATCCAACTGACGAACCTGTTTCTCTACCATATGATCAGAGTTTCGAAGATATGGATCTTCCAGTAGAGAAATGGAAAGGTAATGCATTTTACTAATGTCTGTTTTAATTTAAAGCCTCACATTGGGTAATGGTTATTGTCACTTATAGAACTTGTGTACCATGAGGTTGTAAACTTCGTCCCACAGCAGCTACCTACATTGTCTTCAACAATTGAAACGACTTCTTAAGAACAACTTCTTAAAAATAATTATAACGCGTGTAATATAGATTTAAGCACAGTAAGATACAATAATATAGATTAACAATAGATGATCATGAGTGAAAAATATACATTATGTATAATTGTTCTATACGAAAATAATATTGTATATATAATTTATAAATAACATAGTATATCAAGTAGTCGAGCTAATTTCTAGAAGATAGGATATATATTTTTGTCGAAAAGAAAACTATAAACCCGCTTAAACGGTTAATTATGTAACTCAGTTATCAGTTGATTGTCAATAATGTCTATTACACAACAATTTTGTTGTGTATACATTTTTTTAGTTATTTTATTAAGTATCCATTCTCTTAATCCGTGAAAGAGATCATTATGCAATTAATTGATTTTATAAAATATTTGATTATCATATATAAATTATGATGAACCTTGCCATATGATACAATCAAAAATATATAGTATCAAATATATATACATATATATAACATTTATACTTAAACACATATAATAATATTAATTGTAGTACTTATTATTTTTAATTATGCTACTACTAAATCAAAAAGCAATATTTGTAACTATAAATCCGCCCGCATTTTTCAAACTTTAACAAAACGACCACTTATTCGCTAAAATCTAAGAAAATAAATTCCTACTGCATAGAGAAAACATAAATTGTAGCAATAAAATAGAACATACGAGACGATTTTGTTATAAATTAGGAATTGCATACTTGATGAACAGCAAAAGATATTTTGTCATGTAAACATAAAATATAAAATTTACAAAACAAATGGACAATTTATATTTATATTACTAATGTGTGATACGAAAAAAGAAATATGTACGAAAATATATTTGAAATTGATGAGATTTAACACCTCATTTCCATTCTAAACCTGTCATTTATTTTGTAATGATGCACATATACATTGCATCCTTCATCTTTTTCTTCTTTTTCTAAATTTCTATGTATTTGTAATCGATTGGTACAATGAAGAAGAATATTGTAACATTTGTGATATATTTTCTTTGCCAATTACACATGTTTTCTAATAAAAAAATATCAGCTAAATGCAAATCAGTGTTTAAACTTGTGTTTAAATCTACTTTTTCATCTTGATAGTATTGATTAAGAAGGTTAAATAACCTAATTGATTTATCACAAAATATTTTTTAATATGCCAAATGTATGGACCGAGGATGATACCGAGAAATTAATAGCACTTTATGGACAATATCAATGTTTGTGGAATCCATTCCATCCCGAGTTCAATAACAAATCATTACGTTACGAAGCGTATAAGAAGATAAAAAATTTCATTAATATTCCTGGATTAACAATATGTGATTGTATTAATAGGATTGTGAATGTAAAAAAAGAATACTGTTATGAACTATCAAAAATCGCTGCAGCTATATCTTACGAAAAATTATATGTGCCAAAAGTGAAATGGTTTAAAAGAATGCATATGCTTTTCTTCCCATACATGCCATTATCTCATAATAATTTTAGAAAGGTATGCAACAAAAATAGTATATGAAAAATGATTACATAGATTTCTTTGTTAAATTATATTTGCGTGCTGTAAAATACTATATACTAATATATATAATTATAAAATCATATAAATATTATTGAATATTAAAATTATAAATTTATTAATATTTATAATACGTCTGTTGTTTTATGTTATATTTGTAATATTGCAATGCATAAATATATTTGCAACAAGATAACAATCATCAAAAATCTAATGATAGCGAGATTCGAGATAAATTTTTGCATTTATCTTTTGAGAAATCAGAGGGCGAACAAATTTGTTCAAATAATACCTGTGGAACATGTGAACTTCAAGAAATTGAATTGTGTTTAAAATTAAGGTCTAAAATTGATTTACCATTTATATATTTTGTATAACTCTATAAGACATTACGAAATAAGATTACAATATTTTTCAAATACAGAGATACTGTTCATTCTGCTCAGAAATTGCAAGATACTTTCCCTTCTGCAACTCCAATCCAAACGGTTGACGTAGCGACAGGAACGAGTAATAGTACCGTAGAACAAGAAACGCAAACGGATTTGCTCCATGTTAGAAACAAATACAAGATTAATAAAGTATAAAATACAGATATTTTCAATAACGTTATAATATCATATTGTTAAAGGAACGACAATACATCGCAGGCAACAATGAAGGAAAACAGGTTTATGTGTACTAAGTAACAGCGAATAATTTATAATATTAATTTTTCAAGAGGAAAGAAAGAAACAATATAAAATCTTTTATAATAGGATCGTTCTACACGTACAGATATTCCTATAGAAGTGTATGGCAGAAAAAAAATTGAAGATAACTTTGATATATTTGGGAAAAGCATAGCATTTCAATTACGAACTATTGATATTCGTGAGTAAAATCTGTTGATTATAGTAAGGAATAATTGTCACTGAAATAGCTTATTTTTAGAGACTGCTGTGGAATTGGAAAAGAAAATACAAAATTTGGTAACAAAAGCGCGATTAAAAATTTTAGAATCTAAATTAATGGATGAGAGTAATAACTCAATCTGCTGTTGCGATTGTAACGACTGTGAAGTAATGTGTAAAGATGAAATTTGTAACTGTGGTCTAACATTAAAGGAATGTTTATTATTTGCTAAAATTAAAGAGAGCAAGAATTATAATAGATTTTGCTACAAGTAATAGACGAGAATAGAACAAGTATCTTGGGACAAATATTGAAGTACCAATGTATGATTGCAATCAATATTTTTAGTTAAATTATTATTTAAAGTTAGATTTATATATAAGTGTAATTATATATTGAGAGGAAATAAATTCTTTAGTTAAACTTAATACATATATGATAAATATCAATAAAAATATTAACAAATGCAAATAATATGACCTTTTTGACAATATTTTTATTAATGTGTAGAACAAAATATATTTTGTAAAGAAAATATTTAAGTAAATAGTTATAAAGTAATTATATACGTATAAATAGTAAATTGATATTAAATAATAAAAAATTCTCGTTATATCCGTGATATAAAAAGACATCATAGTTCTATCATGATTCTTTTTACATCTGGTTATATCGAATATTATTGATATAAATAGACATATTCACTTAAGACTTTATAAAGAATTGCAGTTTTCTTCATGTGAGTGTCACGCAAAATTGTATAAGTTTTCTATTCGTAAAAATATATAAATCTTGAGTGATGCTATTGATGAATTAAATATAATTATGTCTTTAAAATGGAACGAAAATGTTACCCTTGTTTTTTTAAATGCATATCAAAAGCATCCATGTCTTTGGAATCCATATTATGCGAAATATTATGATTGTTTAGCCAAAAATGATGCACTCAAGAATATAATTACAGAACTTAACATACCCGAATTGAATATATCTGATTGTTTAGAACAAATTAAATTGATAAGAAAAAAGTAAAAATTTAACATATAAGAGTAAAACATAAAGGATAAAAATTTTTATTTATTTTTGATGCGAAAATTTATATTCGATATTTACTCATCCAGATTGAATTTAAAAATATTGAATAAAAAGTGTTCTTCTTGTCTTAGATATAGACAGGAACAAACAAGAGTTATCGAAGGATTTCATTCAAGCAAACCATATGAATCTCCTTTTGCTTGGTTTCCTATAATAGTTGAAATGTTAACAAAGGTGATTGATGATGAAAGCAAGTTGCAGGTAAAATATATAATATAATTTATATGTATATAATTCGAAGGATATTTATAAAGGAAATTATTTTGAAAGGAGTATAAATCAATTTTTCAAAATAATTTATAAATTGGTAGATCATACATTGAGATATCAACAATAAAAATTTTAATATTTTAATGAATTATTTATATTATTATGGATAGAACAGAATAGGATCAGTGAAAATGATATCTCCTGTAAAAGATTGCATTACTATACCATATGACAACAACAGTAGATATAAAAATGTATCTAATTTTCTTTGTATGCAAGATTATAAGACAAAATCAAGAAAAAACAGTAAATTTACAAAATCTGGTAAAAAAAAGTATTTAAGAAATAAATCATTTCTATTTTAATTTGCTGTTATAAAATGAATTTATTATCACTCATTCAAACACTATATGCCAGGGCGTTTTGAACACGAAAGTGAAGGGCAGAATAATGCACAATTGCTGCAGTGTCCATTCTCTCTCTCTCTTTGTGGTTGGTAAGATATAAATCCTAACAAATTGGATATAAAAACTGTGAAAAAAGCTTACGAAAATATAAAATCATTAAATATCACAGTTCTTTGTCCAGAATATTCCAATTTAGCTAATAAACTTTATGAAGGATACAAAGCACATTGAATAATAGACAATATATATCAAGGAAAATACGAGAATATAATTCCATGTCCAACCTTTTCTAGCGGATTACCAAGTTATACAGGCTATTCTGCAGACATATCGAAAACTAATTATATATACTATCCACAAAGCATTTGCAATTACATAAATCAACAAATGAAACAGACGACACCAGTAGCAACTGTTGCATCCAAATTAAAATTCTGTACATTGTCAAACAAACAATTATTTCCGGAAAGACGAACGAAACAAGTAGGGACCATTATTGAGCAACGCAATAAGGGAATACAAAATACAGTTTGCGTGTCGAAAACAAAGACAGATAGTGTACAGAAATGCTATAGAGAAATCCAAAGTAAGCCTTTAACATCTCAGGAAATGTCAGTAAATACTGTGGAACAATGTGATAAGGAGATTCAGAAAACTATTTGTGCAAATTCAAATAATTGTCAAGTTTTTCAAATGTATTCTTCCGCAAAAAAAACAAAGCCAATTGATGCAAATAATATGAAATGTCCTGCAAACGACATGCGAAATACGATTGGTATAAAATTAAAGACCGTAGAAGGTTCTATGCCGAATTTTATATTGATAACTACCGATGGAAATTATTTGCCACTGATACAAAGAGATTTGAAGGAATTCACAACTAATAAATATCAGAAAGATACTGGTCATCATAATCAGAAAGGTTTTTAAATCATCATAATATCAGGGAATAGAAGTAATGCGTTAATTGTTACCATTATTTTTTTTGGTAATGGTGTTTTTTTTTTGTAATCGTAATAGTAACATAATTTAATTTATTATTATATATTTATATTAATTAAATTTAACTTTCTATTCCTTGCAAGATATATATACATATATATAATATAATACAAGCCTGTCCAATTTGAACTTCCGAAGCTAAAACGCAAAGCCATCGACGTAAAAAAATTCAATGTGATTAACATTTTAGGAACTATAAAGTGTTGATAAGGATTACTTAGATGCGTATCAACACTTTACAGTCCCCGAAATTTTACGCACATTAATTTTTTTTTGTATCGATGGCTTTGCATTTTGACTTCAGAATTCAAATTGGACAGACCTGATATAATACATATTAATTATTTTATATTAAACTTTATATCTGATAAAATTTAATGTTGATTTAGAAACGGATAATGTGATTTGGTTAACATAATTAAAAAAAAAATTTACGAATGTCATGAACAGCATTGTCAATTTACTTTCTTTTCTTTTAGAAGCAGAAAAAGCTTATTTTGCATTAAGTAATAAGAAACTCGTTGAAAATGAAGTTTGCACTAAAGAAACCTGCTCCTCTCTTCTCTCTCACAACATAATGGAGATTATCAAACACAATTCTGCAATGATACAAGCTTTACTTCAATGCTTGGAAAATATAATGCAAGAAAAAACAAACGTTTATTCTGTTACGTCGCACTTATCAAAGATAGATGTAAATTCTAATTGTAAGTAGTGATTATTTCTTATAACGATATATAGATTTATTTTAAATACATAAATGAATTTTGTGTATTATATTTTTTACACAGCTTCCGAGATAACTGTGTGTGAACAAATTCCATGCAAATTTCTAAACGAGAATATACATTCTGACACTAACTCTGCTGCTGAACTAGAAAGTTTAAGTTGTTTACCGTGTTTGGAAAAAACGGAGGAAGGTAACACTATAGCAATGTTTACCGAAACCCTTTTACAGCTAATGAAACATGCCTTTGTAATGAATAGTAAGAATGGTCGGTATTTTCGAATATTTTATAACTATTATTAACGACTATTTTTAAATAGTAAATGTGTATAATTAATGCATATATTAAAAAGCTATATATTGAAGCTTTTCATTGTAATTTTTTTCAGTACAAAAAGACTATGTAAGGAAAGAAGATATGAACAATACATTTATCGTTTTAAATAAAATAAAAGAATGTGCAGATGAAATTTTAAAGATATATACGCTTGTAGATTGGTCAAAGAGACAGATATTAAATAAATTTTATTGTAAATCCAAATCGAAAAGTACTTGTCCTTCAAGGAAAAACTCTGCTTTGAATTCGAATCAGACTCAAGATATTAAAAAGGATGTCATAGATCACTTTACAATCCCTTATATGAACTCGAAAGACGTAGAAGTGGTATATGAACCCTCCACATCGAAAATTAGAAATTACAATCTTTCAGAAAATGATACCACATATGCAGAAACAACGATGGATGAATCGTTTGTCAAGGATAAAGATGTTACTGCGAGGACAGAAAACCATGATGTCGGTTTAAATATATCATTGCCGCAAATATTGCTTCGTGATTCGGAAACTCAGTATATTCCGAAGCAATTGCAAGATACAGGCATTGTAACCGATCCCAATTTTGAGGAAAAGATAAGTGTGGCCACTCAAAATCGTGAGCCTATTTTGATTCGTGTAATCAAATCTAATAATAGCGGAGGTATTCTAAAATTGGACAAGGAGACATGCGTCCGCGATGCCCATGTTCTGTGGAACGTTAATAAGTACTCGAAAAACATGTATCAGAAGTATTTAGTTAGAAAATATTATGATGAACTGTTACATCCTGGCATTTCTCGCGAGAAAGAAGTGAATTGTATAGATTACCATACATCTTTGTTACGTACAATACCAAATTCTTCGAATGGAATTCATAGATACTACAAAGGATGCAGAAGTTCATTGCCATGTCATCATAATTGGATCAAAGCAAATATCACAAATCTTGGAATATCATCGATTCAACGTGTTTCCAGAATCCCATCATATGCGAGATCACGCAAGTATACACAGAGGAGAGCTGATTTGTACAGAATGTCACGATCGTACGTATAAGCAGTACTTTTATGAATGTAATATGATTAACAAACGCGTAAAATAAATCATACAAATAAACTTTATAGTTTGATAATTAGTTTTCTATCAAGGTAATCGAATAAATTATGATTTTTAATTCAAATTCCATTTTATTACATGAAACCATATAATATTTTCACAATTAGAATATACGTATTCCTAATTGTAAAGGACATATATCTATTGATATGAATCAAAGCAAACTTTCACGTATGTGTGATATTAATATTTAAATTTAATAAAATAGTATAAAAGAGACATTTGCTATTTTTTCATATTGCTCGTTTTTACATAAATGTTATTATAATTTTAATGTCTTATATACTTGTTTTTTTTATAAGATTTATAAATTAATGATATAATGATCTAGTAATGATCAATTATTAATTATTTATCCTGAGTACATTCATTTCTTCTTTATATAAATATTATATAATGAATAAATAAAACAATTCTATTTGAAATGCAAATTGCCAGAATATATTCTGACATGTATTTGCATAATAGTAGAATATTGCATATTGTACTACAACTTAATAACAAATTTTGAAATCAGCTAATAAATTACGTAAAATCTAAAATTATAAAGAATATTAATAATTATAATCGCTATATATAATCAATTCAGCATATCTTATTATTCTTGACGATAACAATTCAAATTAAAGATAATCCACAAATAACGTATTTATAATTAATAAACAAGATTAAAATTCTACGTAATTGTAAAATTTTTTCATTTATGTGAAAGTGTATAAATAAAAAAAAAGATGTGTAATATATGTATATATTGATTTTTTATTTTAACTGAAATAATACTGTTGATATTTTTAAACACACTTTTAAAAACCTAATAAGTTTCACTCTCTTGAAGTATACATATACATATATATATTTATATACAGGGTGACCTATTTTAATTTATTTTACTACTCTTAAAAACTTTTTATTTTGGATTTTGTAAAAAATTTTTTAGACAAAAGTAGAACGATTTTAAGAGGGACGTATTTTGGTCAAATTATTTTTCTTTTTAATGAAGATGTCAAAAAGATATAAAGATCATCTCCAATTTTTTAAATGGAGTTATATGATTTTTTTGCATAATATGATTTATATAATTATTTTACATATAAAAGTGTTAAGGTATAAAGATTAAAGATATAAAAAAACCAATAGTTTAGGAGAGATTTCATATAATTTAGTCCAACACATATTGACATAAAATGTTAAATCTCGTAAACTAATTTTTTGATAACCAAGATATGATTATAAAAAAATTAATACTTTACAAGATATTTAACATTTTATGTTAATATCTGCAAGAATAAAATATAAAATATATACATATCTTTTTGACATTTTCATAGAAGAAAACAACATAATCAAAATACGTAATAAAAATCCTTCTAAAAACCGTTCCTTTAGTCTAAAATATTTTTTTTCTAAAATGTCTAAAATTAAAAAAAAATTTTTGGAAGGTAAATTAAAATGGATCATTCTGTATGTTAAATTATTGTACTTAGCTTCAGAATTTGTCAACAGTCACATATAACTCTTATTTGACTAGCTTTAAATAATTTTATTATTTATGAAATCAATACTCGCTTCTGATGAAATCATGTTTTCTGGAAAAGGAAATAAAATTTGATTTATTTCGAAATATTTGCGTTTTATAATATTTGAAAATGTATATTGTGTTTACTGTTATTTAATTTGTTTTCTTTGCGTCCGCTTTCTCGTCTTTAGCTTGACCACGACCAAACAATCTAGCCAATGAGTCCCAAATTCCTCCCAAAAATAAAGCACAGAATAAATTTTCAAATGGCACAAATGGATCATGAATGCCAAGCAAAATTGATGATAACTGAAAAATGATATTGTTAATATAATTTTGTTTTTATATGTGTCAAATGTATAAATTTTTAGGAGATATTTTATTAGAATATGGACTTTACCTTGAAGTAGACGAAGAAGATGACAATGCCAAAATACACAAGAGCATGAGGTGCAGAAATAAGATCAGTCTTCTTATCTAACACAAAGATTATTGATGCAACCATGGATGCTTTCGTAGGACTGTAAAAAAAATTATTTGTTGTCATATGTATGTTGGTTAAAAACTTGATTACACATACTATAAAGGAGGATTATTATATACAACTTCTTTCGCGACCATTCAGGGAATTTCATTTCTATACATTTTCTTATGTATTTTTTTCATGGAAACCGAAAATTATCATAATAATGACGAACTGAATCAATAATTCTGAATGAATTTTTAAATAAAACATGATCGATTTCATAATGATATCACTGTCATTTATTTCATAGCAATTTTGTAACAATAGTGAATAGGGATTCTTTATTTTAATGTACCAATTTTTTTCCGAATATAGCGTCATTACTATAATTATATAACTTTCGGTTTCTATTAAGAAAAATACATTAAAAAATGTAGAAATGAAATGATCCCCAAATGGTCGCGAAAAGTGAAAGTTGTATGGTCCTTCATAATTTAAATATTTGTTCATATAAACATTATAAATTTTACATACAAACTGGGTTGCATAAATTCCATCGCAGTTGGTGTCCATACACCACGTATAAGACGCTCAAATAATTTGGTAAATTCAGCTCCGTTACCTGTATAAATATTATAATTGCATATATGTTAACTGTTAAACATATATTAGCTTATTTTATAGCGCGTGTTCGTATATTTTAGTTGTGGAAATAATGTGATATCATGTCATTTAGTATATATATTTTATGTTTTATGACGAACCTTTGAACGTTCCAATCAATATCATAATAAGATATGCATTTGGATAAAGTTTCCCTGCGTGAGTTACTCCATCGTACACCTTTTTACACCTGTAAAAAATAGTATAGATTTATATGCATTGGCATTATTTTAAATCATTTTTATATTCTCTTTTATATGTGCAAATACATAGTTCTTATAAATATATGGTGGAAATAAAAAAACATCTTGAAAATTGATAAGTAACATTTACTTGCCTATAAATTTCTTTCATAGCAGCACATACTATTTTAACTGGTAAAAATTTGGCAATCTTATATCCAATGTCAAACGGTGTGTAAAATATCACATACCTGAAATATTTAGGAAAGTTTTCTTTTAATAATGCCATTATTTTTTACTTACATCACTAATTTTTCTCTAATTACAATTTTTTATTTCTTGAATAGTTTTGTAAAATTGACATAATATTTTAAAAATAATAGTTTATGAAATGCAAAACATTATAACAGGCCGCACAGACATTACTGACCACACAATAGTTGCAACTACCACTTGTGGTGTATTTTTCAATGGTGCAAGAATTGGTTCTCCTAATAATCCATTGCACAGCATACTGCTTGCAAAAACGGACAACATTGTAGACAGCCAACATGATAAAGGATGTTTGCGGGAAAATGCTTGTGCACCTAAATATAGATATATCATAATTGTTATACATTATTTACCGAAAATTTAAATTTCACTATATGTGAAATTAAATCTTTGACATCTATCATAATTTATAGTAGTATATATTTTAAATAATAAATTACAAGAAAGAAGTAAATATTTGAAACTATATCTATTTAGATCAAAGAATCATTTATAAAATATTCTTTTCAGCAAATATTTTTACCTTATAATTTTTTTTTATATAATAGATATAAGACTTTATTACAGTGTGGAATGTTGAAGATATATATTGATTGAGATAAGTCAATTAGGGAATCCTTACAAATATAACATTTCACATATGCAAACTCAGAGATGTGCGGGCAACTAACAATAAAAATAATTGAAAACATTGTAGAAATTTTAAGAAATCAAATTTAAATTTCTGTTAATAAAAATTGAATTTCTGTTTGATTTTAATACTTTTCATCATTACATTAAAAAGTTAACTTGAAATCTATTTCTTGAAAATAATAGATCTTTCAAAATAATATTAATATTAAAATCAAATTAAAAAATTAGAGAAAACTTAGCCCCTATCTTTATTTCTTATTATTTTAAGTTATCTACAATTTTATTTGAATGAAAAAGCCAGAAAATTTCTTTATAAAATAATTTAATCCTTTATAAGTTTAAGAATAGCAGTTTATAATATAAGAGTAAGATTTAATATAATAAACAGATAATTTTCTATTAATGTAAACTGGCAAAGAGTATATTTTAGAGAAGCTGCTTCCAAAAGAGCCCTTATTTTGAATACTTCTGGCTCTGTATACGTGCGAGCACAGTGCTGAAATAGACCGGCTGGGTTGTCTGTGTCATTGCCTTGAGATAGAATATGATAATTGTGCCAGAGAATAGTAAAATCAGCTCTTAATTCTTGTTCTTAATTTTAATCTTAGTATGTCTCTTAATAACGCATAATAATTACTTCTTCCATTTACTTTTTGCATATTATATTTCGTTATTATTTATCATATCTTTTCTCAAATATATACAGGCTGTCAATCGGAAAATTGTGAAAACCAAATAGCCATCATTTTGTAAATAAAAATGAATAGAATGTGAGAGCTATTATTTTGTAATACACACACACACACACACACACACACACACACACAGAAAGAATTAAATAAATTAGACCATACATAAAATAAAATTTTCCGAAAGAAAGTCATTTTTATTAATATATAGTACAAATACAATACAGTGAATATATAAATACAGAAATTTTGAGAAAATATAAAAAAGTTGAATATTTAATTGGTTGCATAGCTCATAATATTTAGATTATGGCATAAGATAAAGCAAACATTATTTTATACAAGAAATCAGTCTTTTTATTAAATAGTATTATTATAAAAAATATATATATGTAAACTTATGTAAATTTTATAAAAGATTCAACAATTTGGTTGCATAGCCCGGATATTTTCGGATTTATAATGCGATATATTTTCGAAATAACAAAATAATTGAGTTTAAATTCGAACAATCGAAGTATTATATTTTCGAAAACTGTCAAAGGATTTCAGCCAAATTGCTCTCATACGAATAGTCATTCGTGGAGAGGTCTTTCAAACATCATAAGTCATGCAACCAGTTATTTTTTAAATAATACTAACTTTCAAATTTATAAATCTACATTCTTTTGTATTATATGCTAACAAAAATAATAGTGTATTGTTTAATTTTATTCTATCTTATATAAAGTTTAATTAATTTCATTTTGTCTCCTTATTACAAAATAACAGCTACTTTAGTAACTTTCTAGTTACCACTATGTAGATTCAAATAGCTCTTCAATTATGCAACAGTAATTATGGCATGCAATCAATCAAACGTAAATTACAATTCGCGAGGTAACGTTACATAAACGAGAGAATTTTCATGTTGTCATTAGCATGCGTAATTTAAATTTAAATTACTTATGGAATACTTGAAAACAGACAATTTTTATGTATCAGAACAGCTCTTCTATAATTTCGAGAAACGCGGAGTAGTACGCGCATAGTAAATATCTTTCCTCGATTGTGATATTAACAATATTACGCAATAACACGAACAATCGTTGTTTGCCGTTTCATGAAACTCTGGGGAATACAGTATATATTTATCAGCCTACGTTACTTATCTACATTATTTATCCTCGATCGTTGATTGTTAGTTTATTATTTGCCCAGAATATTTCAACAAGTCTTTAGTGAAATGCAGTTGTAGCATGTAATCGTGTTAATTTTATCTTGACATGAAACGAACAGTTTTATATATTTTTTTCTGGCGACGCAGGAATATTGTACCTAGCGTTGGATAATTTGATATACTAGATTAACTTTAATTTTGGTTTAATTTATCTCTTCTCTGTTTTTTAATTGTGATGTTATGATATATCAATGATAATTTAAGAATGCATGTGTACATGTCAAAACATTATTAAAAATATAAAAATTTCATAGAACGTTCTATTATTACGTCTACATAAAATTTGACCACAAGTTTATTATATATATATATTAGTTTAAAAGTTATTTAATTCTTTTGTTAGTTTTAATGTTTATGTAAAATCGCGTTTTGTAGTAGTTATTTGCAAATATGATAAGATCATAGCATTGCACGAATTAAATCAAATTTTATATATATAATCTATAAAATTCTATAAAACTTTAATAAATATTTGTGCAAAAATTTATTTGGATCTACTTACACGTTTAAAAGTTATTTACTTAAAACTGCAACAAAATGTGATCATTTTATTGTATAATGCCATTATTTATTGTTTTGTTTTTGTAATTGATTTCAAAATATATTTATAATACAAATTTATAATAAAAAAGCTAATATTGATTTCTTTAGCTAATTTTTTGATTGATATTTTTAGCTGATAGCCAAAACGTTCTTAACTTTAATGATTTAATTAACTCTTGCTTTTTTTAGATTAGAAAAAGATGAAGAGTATAAGCTGAACTGAGATTAAAGTTAAAGATGTTTTGTGTGAGCAAAAGGGAAGAGGAAGGAAAGAAAGAAAAAGAGAGGAGAGAGAGAGAAAGAGAGAGAGAGAGAGAGAGAGAAAGAAACGTCTGTAAATATAAAACTTTGTGAATAAGCGTGGGACGTAGTTGCCCTCCGAGGTCACGGAGAAGCTGTCTCATCGAGAATCCCCACGACCGGGGACGCCGGGGGACGCACTGGCAAGAGAGCGCTACAAATTTAGAAACGCGGCCGGAGCGCGGACCGGCGCAACTCACCGGTTCCTAGATCATCCCTGACGTGCGCTGCGACCAGCACGCAGTGTGCTATGTCGAAATACGGGAACATTTTCAGCTTGATAACCTGATTGGCCATGTCCAGGAACGCTTCGGGATCCATGATCGTGGAAGTATGTTGCTCGCTCGCTGCTTGTTGTTTTTAGCCTGATCGTATATACGACGTACCACACGACGTTCACACACCTCAGCACACTTCACGCGAGCACTACGACTTGTATACTCCTCAACAACTTCCTCGATTCAAACGCTCGCGATCGAGCGCCCGCGAGCAACGCCAGCTACGCGTTGTCTGCTATCGTCGTCTGCTAGGCTATTCCAACCTACCCTAACCTCGCGCTACATAGGAATTATAAAAAAAGAAATCACGATTTCTTGCCTTATCGATTAAGTGCGCGCTATGTTGTTTCTTAAATAGTATATAGATGGCAATAAAGCATTGCGAGTGTTGTCTAAAGATTTCTGTATTACCTTAATACAATATTTCAATGATAGTAATAAAGATTTCTATATTATCGGCATAACTATTTCAATGATGCTTTCTAGAAATTTGGGACGTCTTCAAAATGATATTCGGAAATTATTCCGAGTCTCTCTGAGTATTATTATATTTTTGTTTAACATTTGGTGAACAACTAAATGATATTTGAAGCATCGATCATGAGCATCGACAAAAGACGGCTAGCCCTGAGCAAATTTTATGACCATCAAAATGGACTGAGGGTCTGGAGAACTAACTAAAAAAATCGATGAAAAATAATTTCAATTGTTATAAACAATCAAATAAACAAATAGTGACTTTTAGATAATTTATCACACATTATATATATATATATATATATATATATATATACATATATACATATACATATATATCTAACTTTTTACATTAAAATCAATTATACATAGAATTATGCGCAAATCGATTTTAGAATGTAAAATCATGTTAATGTATTATTTTGTGCTTATAGGATAAAACTAATTGATTAAATAAGACTAATTGATTATATATATACACGATGCATTATCAATTATGGGTAAACGACATTAAAATGTATTAGTGAAGATAATTATCCTTTTATATTTTTTTTATAAAAGAACTTAATTTATTAAATTCTATATAGATTAATTGCTCGACTATATTTACAAAATCTTTCGAAATTTTCCGATGTTTAAGGTACATAGGCAATAGTACAGAATTATCTAAATGTTAGGAGTATTTTCCCTGCGCGTGTATCTCTTTTTAAAAGTTGTTTAAACTTAATGTGTAATCTTTGTTTAATGCTTTTAAAAATTAAATCTAAGAAGTAGCTATTAATAAATAATATTATATGTTAATGTGATTAAACGAAAGTTTTTCTTCATGGGAAATAGGATACGACAATAAGAAAACCTTATCAATTAATTCAATGATTAAAACCTAATTTATGGCATAATGACACAAAAAAATAAGTTTAAATATCGTGCTGAAAAAAATGGTTCTTTATACCAATCATATTTCTCAGATAATAGCAAGCAAATACTCATGGTATATGTAGATAAGGAGAATGTAGTTATTATCAAAATGGAAATATCACGTGATACGCAATTTTAAAATGTAATCCGATAAATTAATGGAAAGCTTCGTTATTAAGTTTAATGTAATTTTATTAGCTACACAGTTTTTGCATAAAAATTTCTAAGATATTTTGATATGTTAACAACTAATATTTACTATTACATTCATTTATTTTCACAATTAGTAACATATGTAACAAGTACGATACAACGGTATCAACAACAACATTTATACGATTAATATTACATTTTTTATATTTGTATATTAACTTTACTTATTTGGAACAACATTAATATTAATTAATATTAATGCAATAATATTACAGTAGGATTAATATTAATTGAAGTAACTAAAATATAGATACATATAGTCTGTTGATATTTACCAGTAACTCTCTTTCTTTCTTATTTTCTTTCAAGCTTGTTTCATTTTGTGTAATTTATTGTTAAATGTGATATATATCCGATAATAAAACTTAATAAATACTTTTATTGTTAAGAATATAATTAACAATATTATAATAAAATTAACGAATAAAAATGCATAAATGCCGATTAGATTTTGTTCCATCCAGCTTTGATACCTAAGAGGAGTTACTAAAGTCCCATTTGGATGTCGGACTGCATATTCAATGCCCCAAATAGCTAAATCTAACGGTGGTATTGGTCGATCTCGGAATTCACTAGATAATTGTTTCATGTTTCTTGTATATCTGCAACCAAACATGTTTTACTATTAACGTAAAATAATCTTACATTTGAATATCTTAACTCTTAAATTCCGTATAAGCATATCTAACTTTTATCCAACATTTTCAATGCATATCCAATTTTTTCACTGCTTATAACTTCTAATTAATTTTTATTTGTAATTAATTTTTTTTACTAATAAAAGTACTTTAAGTATAGCAAGGTGATGTCAAATGATATCTTAGCGACATCTTTAAAATCAATGAATGTGTTGAGCAAAAAAACTAGTCAGAGAGCACTTATTAATTCTTTAATATCCTACATTACACTCTGATCCAGCGAAAAAGTAAAAACAAGAATCAATCATATTAAAGAATCACTGAACGCTAATTAATTTCTCTCTACTGAATACATCCAACATAACGTTACTAAAATGTCACTACTATGTTGCTACTTGGGACATCAACTTTAATGAAAGTAAATCGCAACGCATTAATGAAAGCAAATCATGACGCATTAATTCTACGTTGGAATGACACTTGATCTAAACTTCGTCAGAAGAAGTTTACGAAGAGAAGAAGCAGTACAATGCAAAAATGTAGCAGATGATTGGTAGACTTCAAATTATTAGTACACAATAAACTATTGTTGCATAAATAAATCGGTCCCATTAAAAAACAAAATTAATGATACATACATTTGCTTGAAATTGTTATGTTTCTTGTTATAGGTATATCTGACATTTTGATGGAACAATTATTTACGATATATTCGTTTTTATAAAACTTATAAGCAATTGAATTAGATTGATGCCATATTTAAGTATGTTGTTCCCATAATGTGTATTAATAGATTAATTAAAAATAAACATGAGTATGATAAGATATATAAATAGAATACCAAATTTTATAATCAGTTTTTACAAGAGTGTTTAAATCAATCAAACCAATTATAGTACTATCTTATATTAATTTAAACAATACTTCGAATATTATATATTATTTGATTATGTAATTTACTGTTTATAATAATTACGATATTAAAACGTAATCGAAATTTGATACCTTTCATTGTAAAGTATTTCTTCAACTGCATGTAATATAGTCTGCGTGGACAATGTTTTAACATCTAAGTATATTCCCACACCCTTAGCTATTAATCTTTGTGCATTTAACTTTTGGTCTACACAGAGAGGCATTACAATCATTGGTACACCTTTCCAAATGGCTTCGTGAGCACTGAGAAGTCCACCATGAGTCCAAATTGCTCTGACATTCTTATGAGCTGCGCATAGAAATTTATTATAATAAAAATCTAAATTGTATATAATGAATATCATTCATATAAACATTTTATTAGTTATATTAATTCAATGCATTTTTTAATCTAATTTTGTCATTTAAAAATCATTTTTAGAAAAACTAGGTTTTATTTAAAAATGGTAACGTGTTATTATAAAAAGATTATAAAATATAATTGTATAATAGTATTTAAAAACTAAAATTATCTACAGATGTCAACAAGAAACTATAAAAAAAAAACAAAATCGTTCGAACATTATTGTAGTAATAATAAGATATGTAAATCTAATGCAACAAAAACTCCCCAGTAAACAAGAATGAAATGACATTGAATGTTTCAAATTTTTAGGATTACGCTTTCGAGATCAATAAAATAAATCCTTTTTGATAGCAATGCATTTTTATTCATTTATAGGCATTGCAAATAAGTAAAGCGCATTTTTATGTCTTTTAATCTAAAAATATTAGGTGTTGGAATTAATTCGTAGCGTTT